TAGTGTCTCAGCTGATGCTGAGCCAGGGGCACAATCGCAGCCAACTTTTAGTTAATCTGTTGGGAAACCTACAGAAATAAAAATCGTGTTGTCTGTAAGAGTTGCAAGATTTTAGTACCAAATAGATCTCTTAAGTTTTAATGCAACCTGTTGGCACAAATCTCTTTCTTGGGATTTTCACTTAGCACACAATAAATTCTAACAGATATTGGTGCTTAAGTTTTACAGTGTTGAGGTCGGTATCCCTAGCAGGTCTTTGTCAAAGGGGAAACAATAATCAGAGGCAGGCTTTGCTGCCCATTCTTAGGGGAAGAGCACACAGAGCCCAACAACAGTAGAGAGAGGTGCAGGCCTCTATCTAAGGGTGTGGGCTGCCCACTTCCTCCCAGTGTGTGCCCACATCTTTTTGGTGATCTCCAGTCTGGCATGAAGATGCACAAGTACAAGACCTGAGTTCTCCTACAAGCTTTTCCCTGAAGCTCAGCTCCACATCCCAACTGCCCCTTACAGAACCGGATAGGCCCAGCCCTCCTTGACTTCCTCCTGGAGCACTGAGTAGTCTTACCTTCCCCACACCCTTAGACAGTGATGGCAAATGTTTTAGAGCTTTCAATGATACAAACAACCTGTTGCAGCACGTGTGCCATAGGTTCGCCACCACTGCCCTCGGACACTGAGTTTGGGACGTTCCCAACTAGAGAAAGAAGAACAAAATTGAAATTTTAATTTTGGTGCTACAAATCTGTCAGAAAATAGGGGCCCTGGAATAGCCACATGCTAAAAAATACTGGTCAAAACCACGACGAGACTTTTTTTAAAAAAATAAGAGGTTACGCAAAATCCTGGCTCCTCTTCCTTCCCAGCTGCTGTCTCACAGACCCCTTCGCTATTCTGAGGGCCGGAAAGGCTTCTATACACAGCGTCATTTGTGGTCAACATAAAGTCGACCATAGACTTAGCCCAATTTGTTTTGCTTTGTTAAAAATAACATTAATACACATTCATTGTACAAAATTTAGAAAATAGAAAAAAAGCATAAAGGAAATAAAAATTGCTGATAAGCCCAACACTCCACTCATTTTCTTAAAATCGTTACTTAAAAGCAGAGAAGATCAAAGGAACAGATATATGCCCCTGAAGTTTTCTAGTTTTATTTTACATAATTTGGCCACTTTATGTAAGATAAAGAATTATCTTAGAATCATGGCATCTTACAAGCAGAATAACAAATGATCATCTTTTTGAACCTGAAACACTATGCAGAAATCTCCTCATTCCTTCTGGCAGCATATATGCCTGACTCACTCATTGCTTCCAGAAATGCTTTTACAGATAGTTGGCTCGGCTTTATATGAAGTTCAACTTGCAAAATTCTACCTCCCTTTTGTCCCTCTACTTCTTGGTCCTAATCAGTACTCTAGAAAAACAGAGTAAGTTTAACTCCCTCTTGTGCTATCTTAGCAACCAACCACTGGATCTCCCAAATATTCTGACTTTAAGAATAAGCTACTCTGGATATTTTATTCTAAATGAGTTCTGCTTTCTTCAAATTGTGGTGTTCACAACTGAACAAAACTCTCATTTTAATGAATAAAATGGGGGTGGCATTCTCCTCCTTGATATTGCCACTAAAGATCTATCAATATCAAGCTAATGGTCAAAATCAGTTTTAAAAAATTTACTAATTATGGTAACAATCATTTCAACATCACTATCCACATCCTGTACTGCAGATTTCCACATAGGTCATAATCATCCTTCTCCACTAGACCTGAAAGGATAAATTACACAATGTCAGTATCTTCTGATATGTTGTGATGGCTAATTTTATGTGTGAACTTGGTTAAGCTCTGGTGCCATGTTGTTGGGTTGAACACCAATCTACATGATGCTGTGAAGGTATTTTAAAAGATGTGATTAATATTTGAACCAGTAGCCTTTGCATAAGACATTATTCACCATACATGAGTGAGCTGAATCCAATCTCTTGGAGGCTTTAAGAAAAAAGACTACAATACCACAAGGGTGAAGGAATTTTGCCTCCAGATTGCTTTTGACTCAAGGTTGCAACATTAACTCTTATCAGAATTTCCAGCTTACCAGCCTGCTGCCCTGCAAATGTCAAGCTACACAATCAAGGGAAGAAATTGCTTACAATCAGTCTCAGAGGAACTAAAGAAACAACTGCTTTCCCAATAGCATGCAAAAAAAATGAAGTACCTAGAAATCAATCTAAGGAAGTAAAAGACCTCTACTCTGAAAACTACAGCACTCTGAAAAAAAGAGATCGAAGAAGATATCAGAAAATGGAAAGGCATCCCTTGTTCTTGGGTAGGAAGAATCAATATAATAAAAATGGCCATACTTCCAAAACTGCTGTATAGATTCAATGCAATCATGATTGAAATTTCAACAGCATATTTCACAGAAGCAGATAAAACAATCCAAAAATTCATTGGAACCAGAAGAGACCTAGAATAGCAAAAGCAGCAATTCTAGGCAACAAAGGCAAGGCAAGTGGCATCACAATCCCCAACTTGAATACTATACAGCTACTGTAATAAAAAAAAAACCCCAGCATGGTACTGGTAAAGAAATACACCTGAGGATCAATGAAACAGATTAGAAGATGCAGAAACATCTCCAGACATGCTCAGCCACCTCATCTTTGACAAAGGAGCCAAACACTCTCACTGGAGGAAAGGTAGCCTCTTTAATAAATGGTGCTGGAAAAATTGGGTCTTCAACTTGCCAAAGTTTAAAACTGGGCCCATATCTCTCACCATGCACTAAGCTAAAATTGAAATGGATCAAAGATCTAAATATTAAAATGGAAACACTAAACCTGCTAGAAGACAGACTAGGTAGGGCTCTTGAAGACATTGATATAGGAAAAGACTTTATGAACAAAACCTCATTCACTCAGGAACTAGCACAAAGAATCAACAAGTGGGATCTCTTCTTATTAAAAAGCTTCTGCACTGCAAGAGAAGCTACCAGAAGAGTGAAGAGACAACCCGCAATGTGGGAAATAATTTTCACCAGGTGTTCCTCAGACAAAGGTCTACTATCTAGAATCTATAAAGAACTTAAAAAATCAGACCTCCCAAATTTAAAGACCCAATCCAAAAATGGGCATCTGAAATGAACAGACATTTCTCAGACAAGAAAGTAGAAGCAGCAAATAAATACATGAAAAAATGTTCAACATTACTGGTCATTCAAGTGATGCAAATGAAAACAATGCTGAGATTCCACCTTACTCCAGAAAGAATGGCTGCTTTCAAGAAATCAACCAATAAAAAATGTCAGTGGGACTGTAGGGAGAAAGGACCCCTTCCCCATTTGGGGTGGGAGTACAAACTGGTGCAACCACTGTGGAAGATGTGTGTGAAGAGTCCTCAAAAAACTAGGATTAGAAGTCCCAGTTATTCCTCTGCTGGGTATCTTCCCAAAAGAATTAAAAGAATCATACCACAGTGACATATACACACCCATGTTTATAGTGACACAGTTTGTAATAGCAAAATCTTGGAAACAGCCCAAATCTCCATCAACTGGTGTCTGTATAAAGATGTGGATTTTTTAACAAAATGGAGTACTACTCAGCCATAAAGAATGATAAACTATAGACATTTATAGTTAGATGGATGCACTTTGAGGCCATATTCTTAAGTGAAATAAATAGGACACACATGTATAAATACCAAATTGTTTCTCTTGCATGAGACACTGAAAGTGAAAATGGGGACCAAAATATATGATAGATAATGGGAAATAGGAAGAAAAGGTTAAAAGGGGAAGGAGAACTAGGGAGGGGGCTGGGGGAAAGGAAAGAAAGGAAAGAAAAATGAGAAAAGAAGGAAAAAATGGACACAAAGCTTTTGTAAATAGGGAGAGGTGGAGGGGTAGAATGGAGGGAAGGGGAATAGGAAAAAACAAGAATCAAGATATATCATGTACAGGTGCAAATTCCCAATGATGAATGTGATCATAATGTGTATCTAAAATGTACCAATAAACTTACTGAATAAAAAAATCAGTTTCAGTCTCTGTCTCTGTCTGTTTCTCTCTCTCTCTCTCTCTCTCTCACACACACACACACACACACACACACACATGCACTCACAGCTTTCTCTTTCTTTCTTTCTTTCTTTCTTTCTTTCTTTCTTTCTTTCTTTCTTTCTTTCTTCCTTTCTTTCTTTTTCTCTACAATTCCTCACTTCCTCTTCCAGGGCTTAGCATACATAGAGAAACATGGCCCCTTAGCTAAATCTGTCTCATCTTTCGTTGTCAAGACAAATACCTTCCTTTCTGTATATGAACCATGGTCTACTGGCCCCATCTCCAAGAAAATACTTTTTTGCTGCTTTTCCTTGGTGAAATGCCTTAGTACTTGCTGTTGCCAATGAGCCATAGTTCTTCCCTGAAAACGCCAGCTAGGGCCCTCTCTGCAGGAAGCCTCGTGATGTAAACTCAAGAGGGTCTGGTCCCTGGCACCAGCAGGAACACCATAAACACACACTTGTCCTATGAGTGCTTCTGCCCTGGATCTTGTGGGTGTGGCTTCGTGTTGTTTTATCCATGTTCTTTTCTTCGGATTTCATCTAAGTTTGTATTTTTCCTTTATGTTAAAAGATCCTTAAGGACACTGAATAGATCTAAAATACTTCCAGAGCTTTGCTGATCATTGGGAGCTTCATGATGAATATCTTTTATAACATATTCAAATAACTTGAAGCTTACGGGAAGAGCTAGGCACAGAACTGGCCAGAACTTCCATGCCATCAAGCCCTATTTGGATTTTCTTTGAAGACAACTGGGAGACTTAAGCTACTGCTTTTTATACAATTTCTATCAAGATTGACTTTCTGAGGGGCCATGATTAAATTGCAAGGTTCTCCCAATCCACACATGCAGAGAACATTGTATGAAATTGTATAATGCTTTTCTATTTTTAATGTGAACGTAACTCACCTGGAAATCTTTTTTAATTGCAGACTTTGAACAGAAGGTCTGGACTGAGCCTGAAACACTGCAACCCTAACAATTTCACCAATAACACTGATCAGAGACCACAGTGTGATTGATGTGGGGCCAGTACAGAGGACACACTGAGGTCAGAAGGAAGCCCAGTTCATGACTCTTGCACTTACTGGCTCAGGACAATGCCTAGAGCAACTAAATTCTGGCAAGATCAAATAAATAAATATGCAAATACAGAGCAGTGTCTGGAACTTAATATATGATACATAATCTTAATTTCTTTCCTACCATCTAAATGACTACCCCAGTCTATATGTATTATACCTCTCATCATAGCTAGTTCCTTAGACTTTATCAGTTTATAATAACGGTAGTTTCCCAAAACATCAAAATTGTTTTCTTTTTATTTTCCATTTAAATTTTTTGGCTTTTAATATTTGTAAAACAAGAAGCTATTTTTGCATTCCATTTATTTTCATGTCCATGGTTATACTATACATCATTGTGTGGGCTTCAAAGTCAAATAGATGTAAGTGTGCAAATCTTGCCGCTGTCACTTATTGCCTGAGCCCTTGTACAAGTTACTTCATTTCTGCAAACTCTATTTCCTGAACTTTAAAAATGAGGATAATAGTTATCAGCCTACAGAGGTATTAGGAGGATTAAGTGAAATAATATAAGAATGCTACTGTTACTAAGGATCTAATTCATGTCAGCAATTTATGTCAGATACTTCCAGTGCTTCATACCTGAAAGACAAGGCTGCCAAAAATGCAAAAGAGACTTAATGCAGAGACTTGACTCTTCCCCTTTATCAAAGTCAAGGTTGTAATAGAAAAGAATAGGACTCAGTGCTGGGATGCGGACATCTGAGTGGAAAATCTGAGCATTGTACATCCCCAGAGTCAACAGAACCCAGCGACTGTCAGAAGTCCTTTCCCACTCACAGGAGGAGAGCAGCTTCCACTCACTGCAAGTATCTTCCCCAGATGATGCTCACCTTTCTCAAGATTCACCCCTCCATTACTTATTGCCTACAGGACAAGAGGTAAGATGTCAGCGTACCCCAAATGGGGAATTACAGTTCTTCTTTTAGAGAAAATAGCTTGCACATCAAATAATTGCTAAATCTTGCAAAAACCAGGGATATATATGTAGCAGTGTCTCTTAAGGGTGTAGGATTAGAATGGACAGATCACAAAAGGAATAGATTTTAAGGTTAGTCAGAAACATTTATTGACACAGGAGCACTTTCCCATGACTAAAGGTTCAGTGTTGTATCAATCTACCATTGCTGCAAACAACCACATAGTCTCAATGACATTCCACAATAAACATTTATTTCTCACTCTGCTGAGGTTTGGCTGATATAGCCTGGGTGTGCCTGAGCTTCCTCAAAGCTGTGGGCAAATCTGCAATTTATGTCTTTCATATTCCTTGGAACAGTGGTTATTCAAGGCATGGTCTTCTCATAACCAAGGATAGGCGCTCAAGAGGCCAGCTCAAATGCAGATTGGAATTTTAACCTTCTGACCCCATTATGTTCAATAACATCCCAATGGCCCAAACAAGTCAGGCAGCCAAGTCCAGCAAGATACATATCCAAAACAAATATTCCTTTTGTTACTATTTGCATATGATGTAGTTGTCTACACAAAAACAAAGATATTAGGCTCAAAAGAGACCGCAATAAAATGTTGAGATATAAAATCAGGATTCACAAGGAATTGTATTAGTGTTCACTAGAAAATAATTTTAAATATAATCTGTACTAATAAAAATTTAGAAATAAAAAGTAATAATCTGTAAAAATATACCACTTATAGTTGAAATAAGAATGAAAAGATATAAAGACACAAATATCATGAAAGATAAATAAGACATGGATGGAGAAAATTTGGAAATATTTTAGAAGATGTATTTACCTAAAAACATATATTCAGGCTAGGAAGACTCAAAATCATAATGCTATCAGTTCTTTACAACAAAAATATTGAGTTCAATTTTAAGCCCTGTTTTTTCAGTGCTTTGACAATTTATTCTAAACTTTATACAGAAGGGCAAAGATATTGAAGACACTAAACAAAAGAATAAAGAGGGAGGAGAGATGATATATCCAACTGGAGAGCAACATCTATTCTAAAGCTAAGTAAAGAAGACATTGCTGTATTAGAATGGAGACAGATTAAATTATCCACTGAGTAGATGAAAAGTCCAAATTGAGTTCCATGCTAGAGACTGGGACAATTGGTCATCCATACATATTTTAAAAGTAAGAAATTGAATCCCCACTGTATGCCACAACTATACCCTCCCCAAAGAATAATTCCAATGGATTAAAGACTTAAATGTGGAATACAAAACATACATTCCTGAAGAGAATATAAGAGGAGACTATTGGAAACTTGAGACCTTGGAAATTTTATGTAACATGCAGATACAAAAAAGTAACTATAAAAAATTAATAAATTTAGCCAGGCTGGATGGAACTGGCCTGTAATCCTAGCTCTGCAAGGGTAAGGTAGGAGGATCACAAGTTGGAGCCCATCCTAGGCAACTTAGCAAGACCTTATTTCAAAATAAAAAATATAAAGGGCTAAGGATGTAGGTCAGCCTGAAGGTTCTGGGTTTAATCCCCACTACCACTCCCCCCCACCAAAAAAAGGTAACTTTGACTGCATTTAAATCCATTGGTGGGGGATACACTATGATTATGAATTCCTCTAGGCAATGCAAACATGGGTACCAAGGGGGCTCCCGTGCTATGGATTTAGAGAAGTCCCAGGGCAGGAAGTAAAAATGGGAAACTAAGGCCACATTCCAATAGGGTGCACCCTGTCTCCTGGAGTGGGATCTGGCATCAGTAATTGGAGTAGAGGTGGGGATGGGAGGACAGAAAGAAGTGCATAAGCCATCATATGAGGGTTAATTTTGCCCACATAGTTGTAATTTACTTCTGTTTAAAGATTTTTTATGTAGGTATGTTATACTTACTGGTTATTTGATAATTACAAAAACACAAAATGCTTGTGATTTTGCTAGGATTTACTCACAGTGGTTAGTTTTCTTATGTGTTTAGTGAGCTTTGATTCTGAGCTCTTTGGTTTATCCGTATCCAAGAAAGCTTAGTGGCCTAAATTGAAGATGCTTACTTTTGGAGAACTAAGCTTGTTTATATATGAAGCAAGAAAGTATTACTGAAAAACTTCATCTTTCATGGAAAGTTCATGGAAGTTCATCTTGAAGCTTTTGATTCACTTCTCCTGTCCTTCCATTAACCCAAGATGTGGCTTTTCAGTTATAGCGTGAATACAGACACTTGTCTTAAAAGCAAAATTATTTTGAATTTCTTCTTGGTTCCATTTTCAGCACATATTTTTCTGCTTTGGTTTGGAGGTGGCAGTTTGGTCAGAGTTTTCTTTATTTCCTGCAAGGACCAAAAGCTTGATGAAATTTTTTGTACAGACTCATTATTTTTCTAGGAGGACCCCTCAGAGAATCTAGTCAGCCATCCTGACAGAAGCTAAAGCTCTGGGTACGTAATTTTGCACAAAGCCTCGCAGCCTGGTTACATCAGTGCCTACTTTTGTTTGTATAAAATACATCACATTTGCTGTGAGCCAGGCCTTGTCCCTTTCCATCACTTGTCATTTTAATCTCTTCTTCTAATTAGAATTTTTAAAGCATCTTACAAATGCTATAAAAGGAGACACAAATGATGGCTGCTCTTGGTTTTTCTTCTTTCCTGAAACTACAATTGTCTCTCTCTGCTGTTTTTGTTCTCATGGCTAAAAGCAAATGTGCCGAGCCTTCATAACTTGCACCTTGATCTAATTAAATTATATCATAAGATAAGAACAGAGAATTGATTACAGTGTTAATGTGAAACAATTGAGAATCTGGTTAGCAAATTGTAAAATAGTTTACAATTCTGTTTTTACTTTACAATGCTGGCCTGTAGCCAGACAGAAAAATGAAAAGAATTTTGTTCTTGAAATGTAAGTGTAGCTCATCTCAACTTGAAATCACATATTAACTGACTCCATCAGACTACAAAGTTTTACATGCTCTGCTCTAGTTCTAGAAAATAAAGTCTTTTCTTTGCCTCCTCACTTGTATCTTTCAACCCACAATTTAGGAAGTCAGAAAACTTCATCTACCATGATGCCTTTTCTGTTATCCTTTAGACGTAAACCAAATTGTATACCTTAGGTTCTGACTGCATTTAACATCCTAAAAGCACTTTATCTAAAATGAATCACTTTTTACTTCCAGTGCTAGTTAAAAGGATATTTTCTCCTATCCAAGTACTGACCAGGCCAGACCCCACTTACATTCCAGAATCAGGCATGTCCAGGGTGGTATAGCTGGAGACAAAGAGAGTATTTTCCAAACTCTAGCTATCATCACCTTCCTTGCAGAGTTTAACTCTTTTTTGATAGTTTAACTAAACAAAGAAAAGAATAAAGTGAACAACATGATCAATATTTCATGGTCTCAATAAGTATCTACACCATTTTTCTCCAGCATTTTTTGATACAAGTTATAAAAATATTCATAATTTTGCCTCCCAGGGTATTTACCGTACTTGACAAGATGAGGCAATAAGTTCATATTTAGAAAATAAAACTTATTTTCTAATCTTCTACTCTAAGTAAAGAAAATTTTAATTAACCTTACTATTAAAAATAAAAACTACCAAAGGGATGGGGTGGTGGGAGGAGATGGGGAAAGGGAAGAATGGAAAGGAAAAATTATGAGAAAAGAAAAAAAATGGAAACAAAGTCTATGTAAATAGGGAAGGGTGGAGGGGTGAAGGGAGAACAGGTAATGGGGAAAAAATAAGAACTAAGATACACCATGAACAGGTACAAGCACCCAATGATAAATGTAAACATATTGTATACCTAAAATGTACCAATAAAAGAATTTAAGCAGAAAAAACCTCTAAAATAAAATATTATTTTAAACCCCAAAAAATAAAAATTAAAAAACTAAAAAAATGACAAAAATGTTTTTAAGGATATGCTTCAAAGAAAGGGGGATCTACGAAGATAGTGGGAAATTATTAGGACAGAATTTGGGAAAGGATAGAAGCCAGGGAATGTGAGTCAGAAGTTTGAGGCTACTTTCCCCAGGAACCAACACTTCCTCATATTAACAGAGCGACTGTTAAGCCGAGAACCATGCTTTTGCAAAC